ACTCTTGAAGTCATTCTGTTTCGCTCCATTCTCTCTACATGTCCGAACCACCTCAACAACCCTTCCTCAGCCCTCTGGACAACAGTTTTGGTAATCCCGCACCTCCTCCTAACTTCCAAACTACGAATTCTCTGCATTATATTCACACCACACATTGCCCTCAGACATGACATCTCCACTGCCTCCAGCCTTCTCCTCGCTGCAACATTCATCACCCACGCTTCACACCCATATAAGAGCGTTGGTAAAACTATACTCTCATACATTCCCCTCTTTGCCTCCAAGGACAAAGTTCTTTGTCTCCACAGACTCCTAAGTGCACCACTCACTCTTTTTCCCTCATCAATTCTATGATTCACCTCATCTTTCATAGACCCATCCGCTGACACGTCCACTCCCAAATATCTGAATACGTTCACCTCCTCCATACTCTCTCCCTCCAATCTGATATTCAATCTTTCATCACCTAATCTTTTTGTTATCCTCATAACCTTACTCTTTCCTGTATTCACCTTTAATTTTCTTCTTTTGCACACCCTACCAAATTCATCCACCAATCTCTGCAACTTCTCTTCAGAATCTCCCAAGAGCACAGTGTCATCAGCAAAGAGCAGCTGTGACAACTCCCACTTTGTGTGTGATTCTTTATCTTTTAACTCCACGCCTCTTGCCAAAACCCTCGCATTTACTTCTCTTACAACCCCATCTATAAATATATTAAACAACCACGGTGACATCACACATCCTTGTCTAAGGCCTACTTTTACTGGGAAAAAATTTCCCTCTTTCCTACATACTCTAACTTGAGCCTCACTATCCTCGTAAAAGCTCTTCACTGCTTTCAGTAACCTACCTCCTACACCATACACTTGCAACATCTGCCACATTGCCCCCCTATCCACCCTGTCATACGCCTTTTCCAAATCCATAAATGCCACAAAGACCTCTTTAGCCTTATCTAAATACTGTTCACTTATATGTTTCACTGTAAACACCTGGTCCACACACCCCCTACCTTTCCTAAAGCCTCCTTGTTCATCTGCTATCCTATTCTCCGTCTTACTCTTAATTCTTTCAATTATAACTCTACCATACACTTTACCAGGTACACTCAACAGACTTATCCCCTATAATTTTTGCACTCTCTTTTATCCCTTTGCCTTTATACAAAGGAACTATGCATGCTCTCTGCCAATCCCTAGGTACCTTACCCTCTTCCATACATTTATTAAATAATTGCACCAACCACTCCAAAACTATATCCCCACCTGCTTTTAACATTTCTATCTTTATCCCATCAATCCCGGCTGCCTTACCCCCTTTCATTTTGCCTACTGCCTCACGAACTTCCCCCACACTCACAACTGGCTCTTCCTCACTCCTACAAGATGTTGTTCCTCCTTGCCCTATACACGAAATCACAGCTTCCCTATCTTCATCAACATTTAACAATTCTTCAAAATATTCCCTCCATCTTCCCAATACCTCTAACTCTCCATTTAATAACTCTCCTCCTTTATTTTTAACTGACAAATCCATTTGTTCTCTAGGCTTTCTTAACTTGTTAATCTCACTCCAAAACTTTTTCTTATTTTCAACAAAATTTGTTGATAACATCTCACCCACTCTCTCATTTGCTCTCTTTTTACATTGCTTCACCACTCTCTTAACCTCTCTCTTTTTCTCCATATACTCTTCCCTCCTTGCATCACTTCTACTTTGTAAAAACTTCTCATATGCTAACTTTTTCTCCCTTACTACTCTCTTTACATCATCATTCCACCAATCGCTCCTCTTCCCTCCTGCACCCACTTTCCTGTAACCACAAACTTCTGCTGAACACTCTAACACTACATTTTTAATCCTACCCCATACCTCTTCGACCCCATTGCCTATGCTCTCATTTGCCCATCTATCCTCCAATAGCTGTTTATATCTTACCCTAACTGCCTCCTCTTTTAGTTTATAAACCTTCACTTCTCTCTTCCCTGATGCTTCTATTCTCCTTGTATCCCATCTACCTTTTACTCTCAGTGTAGCTACAACTAGAATGTGATCTGATATATCTGTGGCCCCTTTATAAACATGTACATCCTGAAGTCTACTCAACAGTCTTTTATCTACCAATACATAATCCAACAAACTACTGTCATTTCGCCCTTCATCATATCTTGTATACTTATTTATCCTCTTTCTTAAAATATGTATTACCTATAACTAAACCCCTTTCTACACAAAGTTCAATCAAAGGGCTCCCATTATCATTTACACCTGGCACCCCAAACTTACCTACCACACCCTCTCTAAAAGTTTCTCCTACTTTAGCATTCAGGTCCCCTACCACAATTACTCTCTCACTTGGTTCAAAGGCTCCTATACATTCACTTAACATCTCCCAAAATCTCTCTCTCTCCTCTGCATTCCTCTCTTCTCCAGGTGCATACACGCTTATTATGACCCACTTCTCGCATCCAACCTTTACTTTAATCCACATAATTCTTGAATTTACACATTCATATTCTCTTTTCTCCTTCCATAACTGATCATTTAACATTACTGCTACCCCTTCCTTTGCTCTAACTCTCTCAGATACTCCAGATTTAATCCCATTTATTTCCCCCCACTGAAACTCTCCTACCCCCTTCAGCTTTGTTTCGCTTAGAGCCAGGACATCCAACTTCTTTTCATTCATAACATCAGCAATCATCTGTTTCTTGTCATCCGCACTACATCCACGCACATTTAAGCAACCAGTTTTATAAAGTTTTTCTTCTTCTCTTTTTTAGTAAATGTATACAGGAGAAGGGGTTACTAGCCCATTGCTCCCGGCATTTTAGTCGCCTCATACGACACGCATGGCTTACGGAGGAAAGATTCTTTTCCACTTCCCCATGGACAATAGAAGAAATAAAAAGGACAAGAGCTATTTAGAAAAAGGGAGAAAACCTAGATGTATGTATATATATATATATGCATGTGCGTGTCTGTGAAGTGTGACCAAAGTGTAAGTAGGAGTAGCAAGATATCCCTGTTATCTAGCGTGTTTATGAGACAGAAAAAGAAACCAGCAATCCTACCATCATGCAAAACAGTTACAGGTTTTTGTTTCACAGTCATCTGGCAGGACGGTAGTACTTCCCTGGGTGGTTGCTGTCTACCAACCTATATATAATATATATAATATATATATTATATATATTATATATACAATATATACAATATATACAATATATACAATATATACAATACATACATACATATACAATACATACATATACAATACATACATATACAATAATACATATATAATACATACATATATAATACATACATATATAATACATACATATATAATAATACATATATAATACATACATATATAATACATACATATATAATACATACATATATAATACATACATATATAATACATACTATATAATACATACATATATAATACATACATATATAATACATACATATATAATACATACATATATAATACATACATATATAATACATACATATATAATACATACATATATAATACATACATATATAATACATACATATATAATACATACATATATAATACATACATATATAATACATACATATATAATACATACATATATAATACATACATATATAATATATACATATATAATATATACATATATAATATATACATATATAATATATACATATATAATATATACATATATAATATATACATATATAATATATACATATATAATATATACATATATAATATATACATATATAATAATACATATATATATACATACATTATATAATATATACATACATATATAATATATACATACATATATAATATATACATACATATATAATATATACATACATATATAATATATACATACATATATAATATATACATACATATATAATATATTACATACATATATAATATATACATACATATATAATATATACATACATATATAATATATACATACATATATAATATATACATACATATATAATATACTACATATAATATATATATATATATATATATATATATATATATATATATATATATATATAAAAGATATGAGAGAGAGAAATAAATGAGACGTAAACAAGTTTCGTAGAGATAAGCGAACTAAGAAAGTTCCGCAAAAAAAAAAAAAAAAAAAGTCAGAGTGCCAGATTTTATGAGGTCACTGGTGCCACTGTGGTGCCACAGTGATGACGCTGTGTGCCAGTCTCTTCACTCCCCTCCCTCCCTCTCTCTCCCCCATATGGGAGCTTCCCCCATCAATACCCACACCCCCCACCTTGCCAAGTCAAGAACTGCACACTGGGCTCAGATACCAATACAAACATCCCAAAGCTCCATAAACACTCACGTACGCACTCCGCGTCACCATTGTTTTTAATAAGAGTCTTTGTGAAAGTCACAATGGTTTTAATTGTGCGAGAACGCTTGTAATAGCGTTTTTTATTATTGTTTGGCTTAAGATTATTATTCCATTGCGCTTGGCAGATCGATTGCCACTGTCAAGAACAATGGTGGCTCTAGTACTGATCTTTGGGGTAACCCGCCTCTTACCCTTTTTCAACTTTACCTCTAGTTTATCTACTGGCCTTCAAGCGTCTCGATTTCCTCTAGGCTATGTGTGTGTGTGTGTGTGTCTGTATGTGTGTGTGTCTGTATGTGTGTGTGTCTGTATGTGTGTGTGTATGTGTGTGTCTGTATGTGTGTGTGTCTGTGTGTGTGTGTGTGTGTGTGTCTGTATGTGTGCTCACCTATTTGTGGTTGTAGGGGTCGAGTCATAGCTCCTGGCCCCGCCTCTTCGTGTGTGTGTGCGTGTCTGCAAATCTTACTGCCTCAACTAACACCCTGCTTTTCCGGTATTGCCTCTCCTCCACCCACACCCATCATCCACGTTTATCCCCCACACTAATCCCTCGACCCACCCCACCACCTCATCACACAACACACTACTTACCTAGTCTAAGAGGTTCGTTACCCCTGTACCAGGTGACTTGGGAGACTGGCTTAGCGTCCTTGATGAGACACTCCAATGTGAGGGAGTCACCTGCCTTGACGGTGAGGTGGGCGTCCCTCGCGTGGCCCACCATCTCGATACTCGTGGGCGGAACTGTGGGAGGAAGGCACGGATGTTAATGTGATGGAGAGAGACGGAGGGATACATGTTACTAGAAACAGAATGGATGCTTGCGAGATGGAAGGAACATTTTAAGCTGAAAAAAAGATATCTATTAAAGAGAGGGAGGAAATAAAAGCGTTTCAGGTTCTTAAAGATGGAGAGAAATACTGAAATAACTAGATAAATTTTGGTCGCTGCGCGATCCGTGAAAGGTGTCCCCGCGTTGCATAACCCCAGCCTCCTGCGCCTCATTGCGCACAACTGAAAAAGTGCAAAGCTCTGCACAAGTTAGTAATGCGTTAAAATATTAACGTTCAGTGTTCCAATTCCTTCGATCAGTCTGGCAAATCAGTTTTAGGATACTGGTCTCTTGTAGAGGCCAATATCCTGAGATAAATATATATAAACCACGGTACGGGTGGGTTTAGAATCCATGGCGAGTCTTAAAACTCCAGGCCAGCGACTAAACCACTGGGCCAGCTGGATACAATAAAATGCATCCAACTAGGTATATTTATACACCATAGGAAGGTTAGCATGGGACACCACTGACCACAAACACAAGTTTTTACAGATTATTATAATCACAGGGATGGAAGGTATTCAGACTCAATTCAGGGAACTGGAGCGCACATCCAATTCCCTAGATCAAGAGCCTCTCACCAGCATCAAGGAACCTCCCTTGAAGGGAAGTTTTTACAGATAAATCTCCCTCCAACGTAGTCATGATGAACTCTAGCTCAAGTACCCTCAAATCCATCATCATAACCTTGCGAAATCGTGTTATGATTTTGAGCGTCACGAAACCAATATTCAACGTTACATTCTCAAGAGTAATATCCTGAACTACACAAGCACACGAAGTTGAACTCTAAAACTGTCTTATCAAAATGTATTATAAAATTACATTCTGATAATCAAGCTTATAGCCTGTTTAGGGGAATCAAGGCTTTAAACAATACTTTGCCTGTTTTTAGTATATTTAAACGTAAAGAATTAAGGTATCATTTATCATCATTTAACAATTAGCCTATTACCAGATTTATAACAAAAATAAAATCATTCGGGAGTACAAACCACATGCTTTTATAATCTTTACTAGTAAATTGTTTAGCATCAAATAAGAGTAAACTAGGGAGGCCAAGCCCATGATGACACTCTTCAGGTCACTTGTTCTATCTAGGCTGGAATATTGCTGCACACTAACAGCACCTTTCAAGGCAGGTGAAATTGCTGACCTAGAAATTGTACAAAGAACCTTCATGGCACACATAACGGAGATAAAACACCTCAATTACTGGGAGCGCTTGAGGTTCCCGAACCTGTATTCCCTGGAACGCAGGCGGGAGAGATACATGATTATATACACCTGGAAAATCCTAGAGGGACTAGTACCAAACTTGCACACGAAAATCACTCACAACGAAATCAAAAGACTTGGCAGACGATGCAACATCCCCCCAATGAAAAGCAGGGGTGTCACTAGCACGTTAAGAGACCATACAATAAGTGTCAGGGGCCCGAGACTGTTCAACTGCCTCCCAGCATACATAAGGGGGATTACCAACAGACCCCTGGCAGTCTTCAAGCTGGCACTGGACAAGCACCTAAAGTCGGTACCTGACCAGCTGGGCTGTGGCTCGTACGATGGATTGCGTGCAGCCAACAGTAACAGCCTGGTTGATCAGGCTCTGATCCACCATGAGGCCTGGCCATAGACCGGGCCGCGGGGGCGTTGACCCCCGGAACTCTCTCCAGGTAAACACTTCTTTGGTACATAATATTAACTACATAATATTAACCATTACCCGTCACTCTTCTCAGTGTCAATACATATCCATTATCACCCGTGTCACACGACTCTTCCAATAATAACAAGTATACTTTGAATATATACCTTTTAAGAGTTTCGAGAGTTTATCTACCGAGTCTGGTGCTTGTCTGGTCAACCAGGCTGTTGCTGCTGGAGGCACGCTGCCCCATATACCCATCACAGCCTGGTTGATCTGGCACCTGATGATACTTGTCCAGTTTTCTCTTGAAGGCTTGTACACTTGTTCCAGCAGTGTTTCTGATATCTTCTGGTAAGATGTTGAATAGTCTGGGACCCCGGATGTTGATACAGTGTTCCCTTATTGTGCCCACCGCACCCCTGCTCCTCATTGGGTTTATTTTACACTTCCTCCCATATCTCTCACTCCAGTATGTTATGGCAGTGTGCACATTTGGGACCAGGCCCTCAAGTATTTTCCAGGTATATATTATCATATATCTCTCCTCCGCTCCAATGAATACATGTTCAAGACTTGCAGGCGTTCCCAGTAGTTTAGGTGCTTTACAGGCTCAATGTGCGTCGCATACGATCTCTGTATTTGTTCCAACTCCGATATTTCTCCTGCCTTGAACGGGGCCGTCAGCACTGAGCAATATTATAAGTGAGGGAGCACTAGCGATTTAAAGAGTGTCACCATCGGCATTATTTCCTTTGTTTTGAAAGTTCTCAATACCCACCTAGTCATCTTCCTGGCTGTCGTGATCTTTGTCTTGTTATGGTCTTTAAAAGAAAGATCCGCCGACAATTATTTCCAGGTCTTTTACCTGTTCGTTACGTTCTATTTGGTGACCCTCTCGAGTTTTGTATATAGTGTTCCTTTTCAGTTCATTTTTTCCATACCTAAGCAGCTGGAACTTATCACCATTGAAGGTCATGTTTTCCACTGCCCACTGGAAAACCCTGTTTATGTCTTCCTGTACTTTTTCAGTGTCCTCTACCGTAGTGACTTCCATGCTTATTTTAGTGTCATCTGGAAATGATACAAAAGTGTGCCGGGTGTTTTTATCTATGCTATGAGGATGAGACACAGCAGAGGTGCCAGGACAGTGCCTTGGGGCACTGAGCTTTTGACCTAGCTGATGCTGGATCTTGCCCTGTTCACTACTTTTTGTGTCCTGTGTTAGGAAACCGAAAATCCATCTGCCTACCTTCCCCGTAATGCCCATGGCCTTTTGTGTGCATCACATTTGTCAAACGCCTTTGCAAAATGTGTAAAAAACATCTGCGTTTTGGTCGTCTTCCAATACCTCCGTAATTCTGTCAAAATGGTTCAGGAGCTGTGATAGTTCTGCTCTAAAATCATGCTGGTTCGTGTTATGTTGGTTGTGCTGCTCCATGAAATTTGTAACCTGCCGTCTCATTACTCCTTCGAAAATTTTTATGATGTGCGAGGTTAGGGCTACTCGTCTAATTTTTAGCTAGTGCTCTACTACCTCACTGTCATGACCCTATCTACTCCGTGTCACACGTCACTACCTCTCAGTGTCACACGACACTGCCTTCTTCCCGTGTCACACAACACTATATTATCTCCGTGTCATGACACCTTTTCAAGGGTTACACGACACTACTCTCAATGTCACACGACTCTCTGTGTCACATGTCACCCGTATATCCTTATCACCGACAAGTAGAATTCTTATAAATACTGAAAACATACGACACCATGTCACTAAAACTATCTTCTTTCAGTGTCACACGACACTTCCGTCACAAACTACAGTCTCTACGTGTCGCACAACACTACCTTTCTCCGTGTCACATACGTCGTGAGTTGAGGCCAAGTAAACTTAGCCAGCAGGATACTAAGTCCAGAGGGTGTAATTCAGGTAAACTCAGTGAGGCCGTCGTACTGAGTGAGGCTGTCAGGTAATAAGGCCGTCGTACTGAGTAAGGCTGTCAGGTAATGAGGCCGGATACTGAGTAAGGCTGTCAGGTAATGAGGCCGTCGTACTGAGTAAGGCTGTCAGGTAATGAGGCCGTCAGCACTCAGTGAGGCAGTCGGGTGAACTGAATTAGCCCGGCCCAGAAGTCCCAACATTGGGTGTGATGACGTAACACAGGGTACTATAGACGCCGGTAATAACCGATAGTTAGCAGCACCCATGGTCAGCCAACCACCTCTCCTGAACATACATGTTACATACAGTACATGTTACCTCCTACCTCATATAATATAGTCAAATATAACATACACAATATTATATACCTTTTATCCCGTTCAGGGTACGCAACAAGATGTCAATTAATCTTTGCTTTCATAACAGGCAAACTTTTAACAGTGGTCTTGATGGCACACTCACGTTATAAACACATATAATAACATTAATTTGATTTAAACTAGAATGACCAAATAAAGCCGAACACTAACTTATTTGTACTCAGAAGAGACACTGATCCAGTCATTTCACACAAACCAATTTGATTAATAAAATTAATACGTGACAACTAGTTAACACCAAGAGATAGTTTCCTTTGAGAAAAACACCTCAGCACCCAAAGTTTGAAGCTGACTACAAGAAGTTTATTACTATTACTAGTAGTAGTAGTATTAGCATTATTAATAGAAAAACAATAAAAATTGAAAAAATATAAAATGCAATGTACGTGGTATTACTCTCACTAAAACAAGACATTGCAATAATGTTACAATGGCACTATTGGAAACATGGACGACAACTAAGTCATCCAGCTGGTCCTCACCCCGGGAACACTCATGACTTTACTGAAATATCTCTTCTGTTATCTGTTAGTAGCGCTGGGGATTATCTTCCCCATGGCCAGCTCTCTCAGACATGAATTTTAACCAGTGTTTCTCACGAGAGAGGAGAGAGAGAGAGAGAGAGAGAGAGAGAGAGAGAGAGAGAGAGAGAGAATGACCTCACTGGCACTAGAAGTGTGCTTCAGACTCGTATATCATTAAGAAAAAAATGTTGAAAGTCAGAAAGGGAGAGAAGCACCATCTACAGGTGGAGGCGAAGAATCACTGAACTTACCAAAATTCTCACTTTCCCAAGAGCGAAAATCAATGTTGGTTAGAGAATGGAAAATGTTCAAATAAAGCTGATTCATACAAGTCCAGGAGAGACAGATGTACCTTTGATGGTTTTGATAAGTTTTCTTACTCCCGCAGCCCGGCCTCGGTCCAGGCTTGTGTGGGGCTTGCCTGGTCAGTCACGTTGTTACTGCTGATGGTCTGCTGGCCCACATTTCCATCACAGCCTGGTTGATTTGGCACTTAATGGAGGTGCTTGACAAGCTTCTTTGTAATGATCCTCTTGCAGTCTGTTGCAGTGTTTTTCTTGACGTCTTTATTCTGTCCATATCTAAGCAGTGGGAACCTGTCACCATTGAACGTCATGTTATTCTATTTTGCTCACTGGCAGACTTTGCTTATTTTGGTATCATCCGCAAATGATACGAAACTCTGGCATGATTACATTTGTCAAACGCCTTTGAAAAATACGTGTATAGTTCACAGAGTTCCTTTTTCTAACGCCTTGGTAATTCTGTCATAGTGGTTTAGTAGGTGTGACAAGTGTGATCTTCCTTACCTACTTTAATGCTGATTTGAGTTACGTAGGTTGCACTGTTCCATAAAATTTGTAATTTGGCGTCTCCTCACCATTTCGAAGACTTGTATGGTAACCGATGTTAGCACTAATTGTATATAATTTTTGGCTAGTGCTCTATTGCCACTATTTATGTAAAGCAGCTAGCTTAGTTTGCACTTTTTCATGTCTCTGGTATTTTACCTATATCCAAGTTCTTTAAAGGACAGAGTGCTCATGTTAATGGCATGTGGTGCTTTTCTATTAAGAAATTCCACAAACCTGGTCCAGGTTTGTGCAGAATGCAGGTGACATGGGCACGATTAGTGCCCATGTCACTTGCATTCTGCACATGTTTTCGTTTAGTAGACCTAGAATTTCTCTTATTTCTTTTTCATCATTATATGAACCTCGTGAAATTAATGATCTATAGGAAGTTCTTCATTTTTTCTTGCAATATCCTAGACGGCTTGTTTCTTCCCATTTGTGCCACTTCTAACTGCTATAAAACCTTAAGCTTTGTTCTTTCTCGCCAGTCTCTCTGCTAACTTCTTTTACGATTCTTTCTATAATTGATACGTTTTTAGATTTTTCTCAATGGTTCCTATTTAATGCAAACCTTGTATGATTTTCTTTTGTTTGTATGTTTTATTTTGGCAGAGGAGGTCTGCTCGTTTCTCTCTCCTAAAAAATGGTGCTGATCGTTTGCTACACTCCAAATTCCTCGGCAGCGTTGTGTTCCTTTCACGGGACAGTCTGAGGAAGTCAGGTAATAACAATCTCTTCACTGCAGTGCAGATTTGCACATCTCCGGGTGAAAGTACCAGCATTCCGTTTTAAAGCAACGCTCATCCTTAGTATATCACAACATTCTGTAGTGTGCTGGTACCAGCATAATGTATCGTTAATGCAGATTCTCCGGGAACAGATGTACAAATATTCCCACTGCCTATATTTTCTGTGGCTGACTGATTTTCGTAATTTTTTTGAGATATTTTGGACACTCTTGTCTACCTTTCTCTGTGCATATTTCCTCAGCTTATTCTGTTTTTTGTCTTTTCGTTCTATTGTGATCTCATCGTTTGTATTTTGCACATTACCCTGCATCCTTCCTTCCGTCTCTCTTCTCCTATCCTGAGAATCTCTTTCTATGACTACCTCAGCTCTGTGTTCCACACCTTTATCCTCCCAGTCTGTGTATATATCTGGCACACTCCTTAGGAAATTCTTTAAACAGAGGGACCATAGTCCTCAGGAACATCCACCCCAGCAATATCCACCCCCAGCAAAATCCACCCCCAGCAACACCTGCCCCAGCAACACCCACCCCTAGCAACACCAACCCCCAGCAACACCCTCCCCCAGCAACACCACCTCCAGCAACACCAACCCCCAGCAACACCCTCCCCCAGCAACACCCACCCCCCAGCAACACCAACCCCCAGCAACACCCTCCCCAGCAACACCCACCCCCAGCAACACCTGCCACAGCAACACCCACCCCCCAGCAACACCAACCCCCAGCAACACCCCCCCCAGCAACACCCACCCCCAGCAACACCTCCACAGCAACACCCACCCCCAGCAACACCAACCCCAGCAACCCCACCCTCAGCAACACCCCCCCAGCAACACCACCCCCAGCAACACCTACCCCCAGCAACACCCATAAGACAATACAAGAGCGGGACCCTGATGGTATTTTCTGCTTAAATTTAACATGAGGGGAGAACGCCCAGAGGTGATTAATGCAACTGATAGAAGTGACACACAAATCCCAGGTGATTACAGGAGATTACACTGTGTTAGGAAATCCCTCGCCTTGCAAACTTCCTCCCCCTCCTCCTTCTTCTCCTCTTTTCTCTCTACATCTCTTCCTCCTCTTACTCTTCACCTTCGTTATCCTTCTCTTTCCTTTTACATCTTCCTCATTCTCTTCCTCAGCCTCCTTCTCATTATTTACCTTTTCCTCCTCGTCGTCGTCCTCCTCCTCCTCCTCTTTCTACTCTTCCTGGCGGTGCGTGCGCGCGTGCGTGCGCGCAACTCTAACTTCATTACAAAAATTCTCTAAATTCCAGGTGGGAATTACGAGGACATGAGTGGTAAATATATGGCGGCTATTTTGACGAGGCTGGCTTTTTCTGGGCCCTTCTTAGAATTTCCTGAAGCCAGGAACAGTTCTAATCTCTGTGGAGGATTTACCTGCGTGTGTGAGTGCGCGTGTGCGTGCGCTTGTGTGTTAGACACTAATCCAGTTCCATTTACCAGGGGCGTCGGGCTGGTTCTCCCACTGTTTGGGGAGTCAACAAGAGAGAGCAGTCTTATTGAGATGCAGTTGATGCTCAATAGCTGTTGCTGCTGATGCTGCTCAACTTGCTGTTGCTGCTGATGCTGCTCAACTTGCTGCTGATGCTGCTGCTGCTTCTGATGATAATGATATTGCTGCTGATAATAACGATCATGCTGTTTCTGCTGCTGATAATAATTCTACTGACGATCTTGTTAGTGTTGCTGCTGTTGGATCCAACAATTACCACTGGCCAGTCGTTCACTGGACGTTTGCTGCGCCTACGGTAACAGTCTACCAGTTGACCAAGTCTCCTGCTTGCTGAGATCAAGTCTTAGCTCCTGGGCCCGTCTCTAGCGATTAGCTGAGACAGGATCGAGCCACCGCCACTCCTAAGAATATTAGTAAGGAAGGACTGCAGCAGGCCTACTGGCTCATGCTAGGTAGGTCCGACTCGCACGCACTCAGGTGCTTGCCTAACCCATTTTTTTAAGTTACCCAAGGTTTTAGCTTCAATAACGCTACTCAGGGTCTTGTTCCACTCATTTACGACTTAATTACCAAACCAGGGATTTCCTATATATTTTCTAAATCTTTTTTTTTTCAAGTTGAACTCACTGCTGCGAGTCGTGTCTTGGTTAGATATTTTTAGCACGTTATTTATATCTCCTATATTTATTCTTGTCTTCCATTTATACATCTCAATCATATCTTCCCTAATTCTACGCCTTTCCAAAGAATGCAGATTCAGGCCCCTCAGTCAATCTTCGAAGGAAAGATTTCTGATACATAGGATCAACTTTCCCATTCTTCTCTATATGTTTTCCGGCGCATTGATGTCCATTCTGTAATTCGCTGACCAGAGCCGCGCAGCATTATCTAAAAC